ACTGCTTACTTGCTGCGCACCGCCTATTCTATTTAACAAAACCACAAACTTCCAAAATATCACCATACTTTATGGTGTGCTATGATATTATGAATCACATGGGTGTCATGTAAGAGTGTGACATAAGCTTACAGACTTATTGCTACCATTATGCCTGGATAATAATTATCTGCAAAAAAATGGAATATACATACTTGAGAATTGAAAAAATAATATGGATAATAATCTGTAGATGGGTCTGGTTAAAAGAGGAGGGTGTACCTAGCTTGTAAGAACTTCTCCAAGTTCTGATAATTCTGCAGTCCACTGTACGGTACTTCGTTGTTTTTTCAGTGTGTGAAATACCCCGACCTATGGAGTTAGGGGGTAAATCTCTTAGTGCTAGCACTTGCTAATGATACTTCGGTACAGAGGATGGATGGCAGTTATCAAGCAAACCGCCGTTATAATATAGAAATGAACTTACAGAAATATGAACTTCAGCACCTGAAGGGCCCTTGCATGTGATCATCAGCGTATTCTCCAACTGACAATTGCAGAGAAAAAACATTGCAGTCAAGACCGTGAAGCTAACAACTATCACACAAATGTAATTTATTTTCAACTCATTAACCTAACAAATCTCTATTACACCCACCTCGATTGTGGTAGAAACAGGTTTTCCATTGATAGATTCAATAACATCACCTTTTTGGATTCCGAGTATCTCAACATTAGATCCTTTCGACACCTAGGGTTCAATTGCCAAACAATTATACCATATACACATGGGAAAAGGGTCACCTTCAAGAAGCCATTACATACCTCTTGAACAATAAGACCATGATCAATGTTATACATACGCCATAACATGTCAACATGAGCAGGTTCTAGAAGCTTGATGGCTTGAAACATCATCCCAAGATGGGGCCGGGCGATGCACCTACACCAAATCAGACACCATTTTAACATATTTCGAGCAAGGTATATCGAAACCTTTCAAAATAAGCAATCTTTAGTGTTTCTATCTAACATGTTAAAAAAATCAACATATTTCGAGCAAGGTATACAGGAGTTGTAAACTTCTCGAAATAAGCAAACCTTTGGTGGAACTCAACTTTTATTTAACATGTTAAAAAAATCAACATGTTTTGAGCAAGGTATACAGGAGTAAGTAACCCTTTCAAAATAAGTCATCTTTAGTGGAATCCAACTTCTATCTAACGGTCAACAAATATTTTGATACAAAAAATGAAGTTCAAAAAGGCCCAAAGGGGGTGAATCATTCATTGTAGTTGAAAAATGCTCAAAGACGGGTTTTCATGACATTACATAGAAGTAAAACATCATATTTCAACATAACCAGGAACGATTGAGTACCACAAAAGAGTATTTGAATATCTCCTACGTTTAAGGAAAATTGTCCGTCAAAATTGAGAGAGAGAACCTAAAACATAGTTTTCCAATTAACTTTACTCTACAATTTGGCTGAAGACATGTGAATCAGAATTATAATGCCTTATCAGTTCCTTATTATATATAGTTGTCATCATGAACCATTTTGTAGTCTCAGCATGGTTCTACTTGTTTATTTTCAGTTCTTGATTTGCTTATAAATAATTATCATTGCTAATTGTTTATTTTAGCCACTTGTACAAACAATACATAAAACACGACAATTATCACATTTTCTTTGAGAATCTTAACATAACTTATGGTCATTAAATTGCACTGTTCAAAATATATATCTGCCAGTTAATCGGCATATCAGTCAGTTAAAAACGACCTATTCATGCAATTAACTGGGTGGGCCAATTTATCTGTCTAACAAGCAGATTAATCGGCTTGTCAGACTGAATTATTGGCTGGACCGATTAACTGCCTGGGCGATTTTGGCCCAAATTTAGCCTGTTCCCTCCCTTTACCCACAACCTCCCGCGCATTAGGTTGGTCCGTGCTCTCTCCCGCTCATCGAGGAGCAGCCCCCGCGCCAAGCAGCCATCGGCGTTGACCCTCCTCGAGCAGCTGCCTGCGTCACCGCAGCGGACACATCTCCACTCCTCCAGCTGCTTCGTCATCTGCTCCTCCTGTCCTCTATCCATGGCATCAACAGGCTGCAAGGTAAACTCTTCTCCTCTGTGATGTAATACTGCTGCTGTTCTGCTGCTGCAGTGCTGCTCTCCTATGTAGTATCTAGAATGCACTGGTGTGGTGCATTTGGCATTTGAGGCAATCTATGGCTGCTTCTACTGCAGCATGTGCTCCAGTATTGAAAAGTAATTCAAATGCAGCCTAGGATATATATAGACATGGCCCTAGTTAACCTACACCGATGAATTCAGTTAATAGGCTGATAAGCCAATTTTTCCCTAATCAGCACCCAACTGATATGCTACCAGTTACCGATATCCTGAAGATTGTTAAATTGCATAAAAGTGAGCAAATAGATACTACAAAAATTAGTTCTACTTCTAACAATAAGTAAGAAGAAAACAATAGGAGGAAACACATTAGCTTAGCATCACCAATCAATCATATAGATACTATCTCAGAGGTGAGAGGAAAACCGAACCGATATTTCTTCCATGAATCCAAACAGTTGAGCAAAATGGAAGAAGGTATAAAAGACCCAAATCTCTTAGGGAGGTTGACCGTTCCGACAACGTTTTCATTCAAGTCAATGACTAGGCCCCCATTGTCATACTACAACAATTCACATTGACAAAACATGAGAGTTTACAGTAACAAGAAAAATGTTATAAAACAAATGACATAGAAAAACTAATAGTTGTAACAAATGTATATAATACTATCACATGATAAGATATATTACCTCATTATCATCACCATGGTCATCCGGAGAACGGAAGTGCACATTGTGGTACCGCCGATACATGTTTGGATTCTTATATTCTGCCCTAGCATATGTTATCCTTAGATTTAAGGAATCGTCTCTTCCAAGCCGAAAAATGTCTTCAGCAAATTTTACATCTTCTTCAAGAAAAGATGGTAACTTGATTGGTTGATCCACCTCAACATTCAAGAAAGCGATATCGTAATGGGGCTGATAGTAGACCAGATCGCCCTTTGCACTGGTGCCATTAAGCAAATGAACAGTGACCTGAGAAGAAAGTTCCGCAACAGATTGTATTAGAGATTTGAACATATGATGTTTCCATTTTGTTATTAACTAGAGAAGGCCAAGAGCACAAAAAGCATGTCCTTTGCACTGGTCCCGTCTACCAAATGAACAGTTCTAAAAAGAAAGTTCCGGAACAGATTGTACTAGAGATTTGATCAATGCTTAATTAGTAAGAAAATCACATATGATGTTTCCATTTTGTCATTAAATCGAAAGGCCAATATATATAGCACAAAAAAAACATGTCCTTGCATTGGTGTAATATAACAAATGAACATTGACCTAAAAAAGGCTGCGGGGCAGATTATATAAGATTTTTGAATACAGCAGTCTCTAACCCCTTGTGAGCATCGGTTAATATTGTTCTTTGATGTATTTGGAAGTTTCTGGTTTTCATAAATGGTTGGTACAGCTAAAGTAAATTGTTGAGAACAGAGTCCATCCATCTTTTTTTTTTACCAAAGCATCCATGTTAGGTTGTCTGTAAAGTTGCAAGTTTTCAAGAAAAAAATGGGCCAAGAGATCTGTGTTTGTGTCTACCCTTTTGATTTATCAGGCACTAAGTTTGAGTTGTGTGACATGCTGCAAAGAATACAAATTGAATCATTTAAAAGAACGTATCATGTGTGGTCATTGTGCGGCAGTTTCTCGACTCGCCCGAATGATGGAACCACGGCGGATTGGCCGACAGTTGCTGCCCTTGCCGTGCAGGCGGTTGCCACATCGCCCGGATGCCCATGAACGCCACGCCTGCACCCTATTTTCTCCACGTCGTGGCAGTTCTCTGCAGTCCACCCGCATTCCATTACTCTCGCTCTGTCTTCCTCCTCCTTTCTCTCTCTCGCATTGCGCTTCGGGGGCGTCGCAGAGGCGATTTCGCGGCGATTCCTCGGCGAGATGGCGGCGGCACTCGCGGAGTCGTCGTACAGGCGGCTGCGCTCGAGTAGGCGCTGCAGCGTCGCCGAAGACCGCATGAGAGGAGGTAATGTGTTCGAAATTGTCTCCACTCCCCCTCAATCTCCGTTTTTTGCGTCTCAAATCGACGGCGATTCCATGGCGATCTCCGTTTCTATTTGGTGGGGATTCTTCAGGGAGTCGCTGGTGGGACGTAGGGGCGGCTCGTTGAACGCCGCACTGGAGCGTTTGGTTGGTTCATTTAGTCCCCCTCGTGGATTCATGCTCTGCATTGAATTGCAGAGTTCATCCCCCTTCTGGATTTCATCCATTTCTATGGGCTGCCAAGCAATGGTTGGCACTATACGTCGTTTTTTTAGGGTGTTTTGTGCTGGCTCAGTCTCTCGAGGTGCTTATAGGCTAGAGTGGGCGTAATATGTCAGCCCAAAACTGGATTGAGCCGAGGCCCAAGTGATATTCTGCCGTCAGCCGACAGCCGGTTCCTAAAGAAAATTCACATCTGAGCCCACAGCCTATAGCGACGCGACCTAATCCCCCTCGCGTTCGGCCGCTGCCTCACCGGTCATCAGGACGCGCCGCCGCCGCCTCTCCTTCTCATCGGTAGTTCGGCGCTGACCGCCGGTGGCCGGAGGCCCGAAGCAAGCGCCGAGCAGCCGACCCGCCGACCCAGACCAGACGGCCGCACTGCCGTTCAGGAGGAGCTCCTCTCGCCTGCGCCTCCCGTACCGACGGTCGACGCCCTCGATCGTCTCCTCCGGCACTCTCCGCTCCCGTGCCGGCCGTGGCCTCGGCCTCGTGGGTGAGTTACTGCTGTGCCGTGCCTACCCCCTCCATGCACTGCTTGCTAGATTATTTGCTTCATTGTACTGATGGTAGAGTACTAGAGTTCATATCATTTTTCTTGCATCCACTGAATGGTAGTGTACATTGGATTCACTGAATCGACTTTTTTCCCTGCAGCACGATGGAGGAAGAGAACGTTGACTGGACACAGGTGTTTGATCGGGTCAAAGGTTCAATCTTTTTCATCCAGTTTGCTCCGAAACAAGACCAGCTTGAAGAACTCCAAATCCTGGCTGATGAGGTCAAGACAGTAAAAGATAAAAAATCACGATACGACAAGGTCAGGAATGGTCATTCTTCTACTGGTTTCGCCTACTATTCTAGACCAACCGGACTGCTAATCATGACAAGTGCACACGGATTGAGCCATCTTTTCAATGCGTCTCGGCCTTTGACACGAGAGACATTGGATATGATGGACATTACTGTCTTGTGTGATCACCAGGAAGAAACTATTCAAGAAGCTAGGTTGGTTAATGCTGTCAGGAAGTATGGCACTGCAACGGTAGCTGGGGTTGACTCAAGTAAAGATACGATTGTTCTGAGTGTTGAGAACAGCGGCCTCAAGAATTACTCAGACGATGGCGTATGCGCCCAAGCACACCCTGCCCTTGAGATCTCTGCCAGCACTCCAACAAATGTATTGGAAGTCGACATGGGGTACAACATGAATGTATTGGAAGTCGACATGAGAACTGCCGAGAGCTCGTCTGGGGCGCCACTGTTCAACTCAAACGGCGAGGTCATTGGTATTTTGCAAGGGAGATTGAGTCGGACCCGCTCGATCTTCGTGGCGGGGTCGCATCTGCATGGATGGGTCCAAGCGGCTCATCGCGCATGAGTTAAAGACGCAAATCATCGACAGAAATAGGATTTAGGCTCTATTTATCTTGGCATGTACTCCCTCCATTTTTGTATACAAGGCCACTGCGAAAAGCATATTTTGCATCTATATAAGGCCACGAACAGTAATCGAAGCAAATATTAATGATGTTTTCTCGTACTAGTAACCCATGGTTTAATTAGAGCATCTCCAACAGCCGCGCTAAAGCGCCGCGCGCAAAAAACCTGTTAGCGCGCGCGCTGCGGCTGGTTTTGCGCGCCCGCCTGCGCTGGCTCCAGCAGCGGCGCTATAATGCAGCGCGCGCGCGCCGCTCCAACAGGGCGCAAAAATACAGCGCGCGCGCCGCACAAACCACATGTACATTTCAAATAAGATGAGCAAAAATGATCAAACAAACAAAATAAAAATCAATAACAAATAGTTCAAAATAAATTATTACAACTCAAACAAATAGTTTATCGTTCAGTACAACAACAAATAGTTCAAAATAAATTATTACAACACAACAAATAGTTCATGAACAATACAATGTCGAGTGCAGATATCATCATGCTCTTTGCCGTTCATGCCATGCCCACCACTCTTCAATTAGATCATTCTGAAGTTCCTTGTGCATTGCGGGACGCCGAATGGCATGATAGGAGGCAACAAAATGGGCTACCCTTTCAGCCCTCCGCCGCACTCGCACGGGATGTCCCAAGAGCTCATACTGTGAGTAGTCTAAATCTTGGCCACGCTCATTCTTGATGATCATGTTGTGCATGATCACACAAGCGTGCATGATGTACCAAAGCATTTTTTAATCCCAAAATCTTGCCGGTCCTCTCACAATAGCAAATTCATGAAGTTTGAGCAATACATACCTTGTAGGCGTTTTGTCAAACACCTTGCGGACGCGGCGCGGCAGCGAGCGCTCGGGCGCTGTTCCTCGGATGACGGAGGCGCGCGGGCGCCGGCGGTACTAGGAGGGGATGGGCGGAAGCGCGGGCACGCGGGGATAGGCCGGGGAAGCCTGAGACGGTCGCCGGGGTGCGCGGGCGGCGGCGGCGGCGCGGCCGGTCGGGGTGGAAGCGCGAGAGGAAGAGCGGGCGCGAGCGCTCGAGTGTGCCGCGCGCTGTAGTGGGCGCCCGAAATACGCCGCGCGAGTAAGTGTTTTTGACCGCGCGCCCAACCCGTTTTAGCGCGCGCGCCGTTTTTGCGCGCCCGCTGGAGCGCCCTGACGCGTTGCGCGCGCGCTAAAACGACCTATTTTGCGGCGCGGCGCTAATTTAGCGCGGCTGTTGGAGATGCTCTTACTAGCATGCATGTAGTGGATGATAATGACACGCTGAACTACTTCCTCCCTCCTCCTAGCCACTCAGTTTTCTCTAATGTGCATGCACTCTATTAATTAACCCGGTAATCGAGAACATAAACTGGCATGTAAAGCACACATTAATTTTTATTTTGGTACCTGTAATTTGAGTTTGTGGCCTTGTATATAAAAATGGAGGGAGTAGTAATTCTCTGTTAGTAACGCTCATTCCGTATGTTAAGACATTAATTTATGTCTCCTCTTGCCTTGCTTTGGCGGTTGGGTTGCCTGGGCTAGTGGCAAAAACGGTTAGTACTATGTTGCATCCATAATTGCAAATGGTAAGTGTAAGTCTCAGTGAGTACAGTATCGCAGGCATGTGTCCTTCAGATATGCTTATGTGGTGTTCATTCCCCCCTCATCCGTGCGTTTTCTCTTCTTTTATCAGATATGTTGCGTTTTCTCTTCTTTTAATTTTAGGAAAATTATAAACTTTCTGTTAGTGTCATTAGTTTTCAAATTTGAAAACACTTTTTTTTCTTCCTTTATTTATTTTATTTTGTTTCTACTTACAACAACATACTTATTGTTGTTTTTTTGTTTTGTTTTCTGCATTATTTATTTTCTTTTATTTTTTGCTTTATTTTTCAATTCTTTTTGCTTTTAGTTTTAGGAAAATTATAAACTTTCTGTTAGTGCCATTAGTTTTCAAATTTAAGAACACTTTTTTTGGTTTTTTTGTTTTCTTTCTTGCTTTATTTATTTTATTTTGTTTCTACTTGCAACAAAATACTTATTGTTGCTATTTTTAATTATTACGAGGGCCGAACCATAAGACATTAAAGCATTTCAAATGAACTCTGAAAAAGTTGAAAGTTGGCATGGTATCATAAATTGACCCACATAGCATGTGCATGTATAAAACGGACAATGGTATCATACTCGTCAGTTACAAAGTTGGCATGGTATCATCATAATAGTTGCAGGAGAAAATCTTCACTTTTTCTTCGCTTGTGTCATTTGCTTATTGCGCCGTAACCATGGATAATCTTCATCGTTTATCAGGATGCTGGGGTCAGCCTTGACTTTGAAGGGAGGAATTTCATGAAACTTTTCATAATCTTCAGACATGTCTGTCTTGTCCTCCACTCTCACGATGTCCTTTTTTCCTGAAAGAACTATGTGACGCTTTGGCTCATCGTATGATGTATTCGCTTCCTTATCTTTTCTCTTTCTCGGTCTGGTAGACATGTCCTTCACATAGATAACCTGTGCCACATCATTGGCTAGGACGAACGGTTCGTCAGTGTACCCAACATTTTTCAAATTGACTATTGTCATTCCGTACTGTGGGTCTACCTGTACCCCGCCTCCTGACAGATTAACCCATTTGCACTTAAACAAAGGGACCTTAAAATCATGTCCGCAGTCAAGTTCCCATATATCCACTATGTAACCATAACATGTGTCCTTTCCCCTCTCGGTTGTTGCATCAAAGCGGACACCGCTGTTTTGGTTGGTGCTCTTTTGATCTTGGTCAATCGTGTAAAATATATTCCCGTTTATCTCGCATCCTTTCCAAATCAATACAGTCAAAGATGGTCCCCTGGACAACAAGTACAGCTCATCACAAACAGTGTTGTCACCTCTGATACGTGCTTCCAACCAATTGCTGAAAGTCCTGATGTGTTCACATCTAATCTAGTCGTCGCACTGCTCCGGGTGTTTGGAGCGCAGGTTGTTCTTGTGTTCATCGACATACGGGGTCACCAAGGTAGAGTTCTGTAGAACTGTGTAGTGTGCTTGAGACCAAGAATATCCGTCCCTGCATATTATTGAGTCCCTTCCAAGCGTGCCTTTTCCAGTCAGTCTCCCCTCATACCGCGATTTAGGGAGACCTATCTTCTTAAGGCCAGAAATGAAGTCAACACAAAATCCGATGGCATCCTCTGTTTGATGGCCCATGGAGATGCTTCCTTCTGGCCTAGTGTGATTACGGACATATTTCTTTAGGACTCCCATGAACCTCTCAAAGGGGTACATATTGTGTAGAAATACGGGGCCCAGAATGACAATCTTGTCAATTAGATGAACTAGGACGTGCGTCATGATATTGAAGAAGGATGGTGGGAACACCAGCTCAAAACTGACAAGACATTGCACCACATCACTCCTTAGCCTTGGTATGATTTCTGGATCGATCACCTTCTGAGAGATTGCATTGAGGAATGCACATAGCTTCACAATGGCTAATCGGACATTTTCCGGTAGAAGCCCCCTCAATGCAACCGGAAGCAGTTGCGTCATAATCACGTGGCAGTCATGAGACTTTAGGTTCTGAAACTTTTTCTCTGCCATATTTATTATTCCTTTTATATTCGACGAGAAGCCAGTCGGGACCTTCATACTAAGCAGGCATTCAAAGAAGATTTCCTTCTCTTCTTTGGTAAGAGCATAGCTGGCAGGACCTTCATACTGCTTTGGAGGCATGCCGCCTTTTTCGTGCAAACGTTGCAGGTCCTCCCGTGCCTCAGCTGTATCTTTTGTATTTCCATACACGCCCAAGAAGCCTAGCAGGTTCACGCAAAGGTTCTTCGTCACGTGCATCACGTTGATCGAAGAGCGGACCTCTAGGTCTTTCCAGTAGGGTAGGTCCCAAAATATAGATTTCTTCTTCCACATGGGTGCGTGTCCCCCAGCATCACTCAGAACAGCTAGTCTGCCGGGACCCTTTCCAAAGATTATGTGTAAATCATTGACCATAGCAAGTACGTGATCACCGGTACGCATGGAGGGCTTCCTCCGGTGATCTGCCTCGCCTTTGAAATGCTTTCCTTTCTTTCGACATTGATGGTTGGTCGGAAGAAATCGACGATGGCCCAGGTACACATTCTTCCTCTAGCTTCCCAGGTATATACTATCGGTGTCAAGTAAACAGTGCGTGCATGCGTGGTATCCCTTGTTTGTCTGTCCTGAAAAGTTACTGAGAGCGGGCTAATCGTTGATGGTCACGAACAGCAACGCCTTTAGGTGAAATTCCTCCTGTTTGTGCTCATCCCACGTACATACACCGTTTCCATTCCACAGCTGTAAAAGTTCTTCAACTAATGGCCTTAGGTACACATCAATGTCGTTGCCGGGTTGCTTAGGGCCTTGGATGAGAACTGGCATCATAATGAACTTCCGCTTCATGCACATCCAAGGAGGAAGGTTATACATACATAGAGTCACGGGCCAGGTGCTGTGATTGCTGCTCTGCTCCCCGAAAGGATTAATGCTATCCGCACTTAAAGCAAACCATACGTTCCTTGGGTCACTTGCAAACTCATCCCAGTACTTTCTCTCGATTTTTCTCCACTGCGACCCGTCAGCGGGTGCTCTCAACTTCCCGTCTTTCTTACGGTTCTCACTGTGCCATCGCATCAACTTGGCATGCTCTCTTTTTCTGAACAGACATTTCAACCGTGGTATTATAGGAGCATACCGCATCACCTTCGCAGGAACCCTCTTCCTGGGGGGCTCGCCGTCAACATCACCAGGGTCATCTCGTCTGATCATATACCGTAATGCACCGCATACCGGGCATGCGTTCAGATCCTTGTACGCACCGCGGTAGAGGATGCAGTCATTAGGGCATGCATGTATCTTCTGCACCTCCAATCCTAGAGGGCATACGACCTTCTTTGCTGCGTATGTACTGTCG